GCATTCACATGTGGAGTGAGCTTTAAATCTAAACATAAACATTTGTACCACTGGTTTGCAATAAAAGGCATGTCTTACACGATTAGATGGTATTGTAGTTCACTGGGCTCAAAAGCTGTGCAAGAGTTTTGATTACTTTTTTCCTCTAAAAGTGTACATAGAACCTTTTAGCACTATGAAAGGTAGCCAGTAGGTATGTAGTTTCCAGGTGAGTGCCTGCTTCTTTTATCCATGTACTATGAATCAAATATGTAATATCTTCAGCAATTAGTCTGTTTTATCAAATTCTAGTTTCTAACCAATAGTGTTGAAAATAGTCTGCTACATTTTGCTGTGGTCTATGAAAACCTATTGAAATAACAACTCAAAAAGGAATAGTCTGTATCTGTCACTGAACTTTTATTTGATAACCTATGATATTTACAAAAAACATTGCCCCCCCCATCAAGGAGTAGCTCCATTTAAACAGTTAAATATGAATATGTAAGTATATATGTAATCGTACATGCATGTATACATATCATGTATGTGTATGTGCATGTAAAAGTATACATAAACACATACATACATACATACACATTAAGAAGCTTCCAAAGTAGTATGTTTCTATATGTCATTTTCAAAACTGAAGATGGAGTTTCTGGTCATACGTGGCCTCACAGACACTTTGCCCCAAATAAACACACTATATTAATTATGAACTTATTGGCCAATGACTATGGCTTCTTACCCTCTAGCTCCCTGTTAATCCTTTGGCTTCTACATAACATATCTGGCAGCCTCTATCTGCTTTCATCTCCCCGGCCTTTTTCCGGTCTGGTAGCCCCACCTATTCTTTCTGCCTGGCTATTGGTCAATCAGTGTTTTATTGACCCATATGGTCTATTATTACTGCACTTTTCCCAATGTCAAAATCAGTTATCATGAGGTATTCATATAATGCTCTTTTTTAACTGAATTATTAATAGTTTCTTTTTCTATATATGTATAAAAACAGTACCTAGCCGATTCAATGGATATTGCAATTCTTCCATAAACTATACAGTTTTGATCCAAATATATTGCCTATTGTTTAGATTGTGCTCACAGATGATAGCTAAAATGTTTAATCTTCTCTCTCTGTTAGCCTTAAAGATTAACCTTGGTGTCATATGGATAAAGTATCATATTTGCAATTGGACTTTCATGAATGAAATAGAAATTCATATTTTTGGCAGAAAAATGCATCTTGTTAATCACTCTAAGTTGTGACAGGATGTAGCTATCTGCCATAAACTAATGTCTCAACTGTCCTGACATATCTTCTCTCAATAGCCCATTATATCATTAATAAATACTTTTATAAATTTAGAAAGAGAAAATATGAATCAGTGGTTCAGACTCAAGCCTATCCAGAAGCAAAAGAAAAAAATGTGAATGTGCCTATGACTTCAAATTTGAATTAAATATACTTCCCTTCATAATATGCCTACTGAACCTAGAGTGTGTTATTTTTCTAAGCATATAAATCATATTTAAGACACACATATGTACATATATTTATATTTGTAAACAATAGAGAAAGAGAGATTTGAAAATGCTAAAATGTATTAGAAATCTAATCTGTGAATTTGCTGTGAACCATAATTTCATAATTCAGAATTTTACTAAAGCAATAGATCTGTTATGATTTGGTTGTTTTTTATTTTGCTTTTTGCCTCTAGCTTTGTTTTAGATCATAGTTTTTACAATCAGTAATCTAAAACAAACAAATATTTTCAGAAATAGGAGGAAAAAAAATTAGGAAAGTGAAAAGTATGTTTAATGTCCTCAAGGCAAAGTGATTACAAGCATGCTGTGAATAAAACATTCCTGGTTCATAATTATGTATTTGAAAAATTGACATTGAGGAAGCTAAGACTTAAATAAAATGTCTACTCTATACTCTTGTTTTTCTTTTTATTCATAATCTGGAGACACTAATATATACACTAAAATTAGAGGTATAAATGTGTATATTGTAAAATATATAATAAAAGTATGTATATTCTGTTATTAAGAGCAATTACTATGGCCATTTCTGACTGTAATCATTACTGTAGACTGTTTTAACCAGTAGAATGAAAGTTGGAAAAATAAACATAGAATGACAAGGAGAGGTTGTGAAATTTCAATCAAAAGTTTTTATGTTCTTATCTTTAGCCTCTTTAGCCTCTATTTGTGTTTCTAATTTAGCTGTTTATTCTGGCACTTCATGTGACATAGCATGAAAGTGTCTTTGTTAGGGTTATTATTGCTATGAAGAGACACCATGACCATGACAACTTTTACAAAGAAAATATTTGATTAAGGTGGGTGGCCTGCTTACAGTTTCAGAGGTTCAGTCCATTATAATCATGACAAGGAGCAAGGCAGTATGCAGGCAGATGTAGCTGAAAGTACTACATCTTGCAGGAAATAAGAAGTTGATTGAGACACTGGGCAGTATCCTGGCCATAGGACACCTCAAATCCTGACTCCACAGTGACACACTTCCTCTAACAAGGCCGTACCCACTCCAACAAAGCCACGTCTAACAGTGTCCCTCCCTATGAGATTGGGGGGGGGGCAATCAGTTTTAAACTATTACAAAAAAAAAAAGAAAGAAAGAAAAGAAAAGGCAACAGGGAAAGTAGCACCAGACCCACCTCAAATGACACCTGGGTCTAGTGCTTTGGATTGCTACTGTCCAAAAGGAAAAAAAAAAAAAGCAAAATATTAAACAAAATAAAGAAAGGAGCAGAAAGTGTCCATTTAGAATTATAAATAAAATGAACATCACAAATACTCAAAAACAAAAAAAAGTAAGGCCTAAGTATGTTAAAGTGGCTTACAAAGAGAAGATATATAGAAACTAAATAATACTTCTAAAATTGATCCCGCAAGTAAATATAAATACAAATAATATACTAATATACTAATAATATACTAATCATATACTAAACATCCAAGCAACATAAAATTTAGAGTGGGTATGTGCTGCTATATAAAACCAAGACTATGTCAATTCCCAAATCATAATGACAGTGTTCATAGTGATTTCATATAAGTATGTTCATGGAGAATACATAGAAGTATATTCTGCCTCTATACCACAATTTCAGAGCCACATTTAAGCTAGTAATTTATCTTTAAATTTGGCACATGCCCTTGCATGGATCTAGAGATATATTTCAAAAATTTTTATTTGAGTTGATGTTTGATTTTTAGAAGATTTTCTTTGATCCTACAGAATAGTGCTTGGAAAAGAAAGGCAAATCAATAATTCTACCTAGGAATATAATATTCTATTATAATAATTCTCAGATTTATTTGTTATATAAACTCTGGATGACATGAAATATTCATGATTTTTAATAATCTGTAGCTTAAACCTAGGGAAAATTTTATATTCAGCCTTTAATGTTAGGAGTAAAATAATAGTCAAACAAATTTAAATAATGCTGTTTTGCTGTAGGTAAGGCATGTGTTGTAGCTGAATGAGAAATATCTCCCAAATCTTAGGCATTTGAATAATTGATCCTGAGTTATTGGTACTATTTGAGAAGGCTTAGGATATGTGGCCTTGCTAAAAGAAGTAGTCAGTGGCTATGTTCTTAGAGAATTTAAAGTCTCATGCTAATTCTAGCTCATTCAACAGACCAGAGATTAATAGAATTTAGTATAGGATAGTAGGTTTTATTGTGAAGGACCTTACCATGCGGTCTTTCAAAATACTTTTGAAAGATTTTTGAACCTTGGACTAAATAGGAGTTGAAAACTATAAGCAGGTGTATAATGACTCATCCTACCTGTATCATGAAAGTCAGTTGTACTGAGAGCAATACAGTCTATTGAGACTCTGCCAAGAGGTTTCATAGGGGAACATTATTAGCAACAGAACTAGAAATCATTTGTATGCTATTTGGGGCAAAATTGTTGCTTATTTCTTCCCATGTTCTTTTTATTTATTTATTTACTTACTTACTTACTTATTTCATTTAGAAACAATCTAGTTTTACATATCAATCCCAGTTCCCTCTCCCTTTCATTCTCCCATACCCCCCACAGGACCTCACCCGTCCCACCTCCTATCTATGCCCCAGGGAGGATAAGGCCTTCCATGGGGGATCATCAAAGCCTAGGATCTTCTCCATGTATCTCGGCTGAGAGAGTATCTCACCATGGGGAATGATCTAACAGCATTCCTGAGGCTAAATTTAAAAGTAACAAACTAATTGCATTGCTTTCATGGATAAGATTTCAAGACAGCCTAAAGTTAACTGTCACATGATTATTAATAATCACTCTAAGGCTACAAGAAAAACAATCATTGGGACAGAAATAAATATAAAATGAACAGTTTGGAGATGATAAGGACACTTCCAAGATTAATGTTTCAGTCAAAGCTTGTGTAAACAGAAAGTTTTAGTTGTTATGATGGTTAGTGTCATTAAGTGGAAGTCTGATTTATATGGTAATGAAGAAAAGAGTATCTTTCAGGCATGACCCCAAACAGAAGCCACCTTCTAAAATAAAAAGATTCTAGGAGTCTTCTGCTCACTGCAAGCAACTAAATGCACATTTGGTGCAACAATGATTCAAGAGTGCAAGGGTCTATCTTATACGGGCCACCAACATTAATAGTATCCTCCACATGGTTCTGGCTTTAGAATCATGAAGCATGTAAAAGCATCTTCCCCAAGGGTCATGGTATCTATCACAGCAAAAGTAAACGAATTAACACATAATATAAGATGTTAATTCACACACTACCTAAAACATTTTTAAATGTCAACTGAACTTTCACTACAAGGCAAAAATTGACTTCAGTATTATATATTTTTATTTTCATGTATTTTGCACTGTTTTTGATGTGCCATTCTGCATTATACCTTGATATTTCATAAATGTAAAAGTTGATACATAATGTGGACCAGGTTTTAAAAGACTCTTTGATGTCCAAACATTTTTCAGAAAAGTTTAGAAACTATATAACAAAGTAATTGCTTCTCGGCAGATGCTGGAGCTCGTGGGGCTATCCCTGCTGGTGGGGCTGCTGGCCCTAGTGGCCATGGTGGCAGTGGCCCGAGGCTGGCTGCAGGCCAAGGAGGACAAAATTAGCCAACCCGTGTGCCAAAAAGTAAATGAAGCCAAAAACTCAGGATCCAAGAAGCAGAAACAGAATCAGCAGATTCGCAAGGAGAAGCCTCAGCAACACAACTTCCGCCTTCTGGCCATAGCATTAAAGAGCCATAGTGGGAATATTTCCTGCATGGACTTCAGTAACAATGGCAAGTATCTGGCCACCTGTGCTGATGACCAAACTGTCCGAATCTGGAGCACCAAAGATTTCCTTCAGCAGGAACACCACAGTATGAGAGCCAATGTGGAGCTGGACCAAGCCACCTTGGTGTGCTTCAATCCTGACTGCAGAGACTTCATTGTTTGGCTGGCCAATGGTGATACCCTCCGTGTCTTTAAGATGGCCAAGCGAGAAGATGGGGGCTTTATTTTCCTAAAAAGCACAAGGTGTCCATCATCAACATTGGCATTGCTGACACAGGGAAGTTTATCATGACAGCCTCCAGTGACACAACTATTCTTATCTGGAATCTGAAATGTCAGGTGCTGTCCACAATCAATACCAACCAGATGAATAACACTTACGCTATTATCTCCCCATGTAGCAGGTTTGTGGGTTCATGTGGCTTCACCCCAGATGTGAAGATCTGGGAGGTCTGCTTCGGGAAGAAAGGGGAATTCCAGGAGGTGCAGCGAGCCTTTGAGCTGAAGGGCCACTCTGCCTCTGTCCACTCTTTCGCTTTCTCCAATGACTCTTGGAGGATGGCCTCTGTCTCCAAGGATGACACATGGAAGCTGTGGGACACAGATGTGGAATGCAAGAAGCAGGAACCCTACTTGCTATGGACAGGCTGCTTTGAAGAGGCAAGCAACATGCCTTGCCGTCTGGCACTCTCCCCTGACAACCATGTCCTGGCCTTGGCCACTGGCACCAGTATTCATCTCTTCAACACGAAGAGTAGGGAGAAGGAGGAATGCTTCGAGTGTGTCCATAGGGAGTGTATTGCTGACTTGACTTTTGATACCACTGGTCACTTCCTGGCCTCCTGTGGGGACCGTGCAGTGTGGCTCTTCCACAACACTCCTGGCCACCGGGCTGTGGTAAAGGAGATGCACCGGGATGTGGTAAAGGCCTCCTGAAGCGGGCATCCAGTGAGAGCACCCGCCAGAGGTTGCAGCAACAGCTGGCCCAGGCCCAGGAGGCCCTAAAGAACCTGGGTGCCCTGAAGAAATGACTCTGGCTCTGAATGGGTCTGGCTCCCTGCCCCAGTGGTTGCTACTCTTCTTCCCAGGTGCCTCTGGGGTGGAGGTCCTGGAGGAACTTCCCAGTATTCTTCCTGGTGGGGCCCCCACTTTTTTCCCATTGAAACTGTTCTTGCATACTTAGATCTCTCTCTCTTCTTGTTTGACTCCTCCCAAACTGAAAGGTGCTGTTTTCTCATGGGGCCAAGGGTGGACTCTGTCTTCACCCAGCACTGAGAAGAGCAGTAGAGAGAAGAGAGAGAGATCAAAGCCTTTGATTGTGGCAAAAGACTCTGACACCCAAAGAAGTTTGTGAGTGTCGAGGTAAAACCTGAGGAATACCAGAGAACAAGGTGGCTGTTTTATAAGGATGTAGAATGTGTTTTATAATGCTATAAGGTGAATCTCCACCTGGACCAGGCTCCTGTTACCAGCAAGAAATAATTAAGGCACTGTTCTATAATCTCAGTACACTACAGGCAACGACAGGAAGAAGGATCAAGGGTACAAGTCCAGCTTGGACTACATAATGAATTCCAGGACCTCCCAGGCTCCATATGGAGAAATCTTGACTAGAGATTTTTTTGCTCTGGGCTTCAGTTTTCTTATTTGTAAAATGGGGAACGATGCTCTCTGTGGCCTTCTTGAAAAGATGTTGTGAGGCTAAGAGCGTTCCAAAGTTCCCTTGCATGGAATATAACAATGCTGTTCAAGGTTCTTAACTATCAGGTAAACTTGGGATCAAACTGTGGTCTGCAACCAAATGGGAAAAAACCACAGCCTTCGGGGATCCCAAGTTTCTTGGGGCTTGGCTTGCTCATTCATCTTGGTTGCATATGGTGATTTGGTTCATGTGCCTTGAGAAGTAATGCCATCTTAACATAGCACTCCTCACTATTGGAGACCTCTTGGACTCATCACTTCAGTGCTTGCTTCATGAAACTAGCTAGTGATGCCGGCTAACACAAGACTGGGTCTGCTGTCACAGTAAAAATTGGTGGGAAGGACCTAGAAGCTGGTGTCTGAAGTGCTTTTTCTTCATTCACAGCTACAGGGGATGTAGACATGGGGCTTGACAGTAATGAATTTAAGACAATAATGGGGATGAAGTAGAATACATCTAATGAGAGATTGGATCTCAGACATATACATTTGAAGACTACTTAGATTCAAGGGGTGAGGAAGATGACAGGAACCTAGGAAGGTGTGAATCTGGCAAAAAATATTCATCACAGTTAATTTTGATCTCTAGCTTATAAGTAAGGCTTCTTCCAGCATCCTCAATGCTACAGAATGTTAGAAAAGGCACAACCCTGAAGTTGACCTTGATGGCTCCCTTGTCGTCCCCCTCTCCTTCCACCACCACTACTGCACCCAGATGACCTGCAGCATCTGCTGCCTCTCCGTATGTTCTGTTACCATCCTGGTCTTAGCCATTGTCACATACTGTATGTATAGTAACTTCTGTTTCCAACTTCATTACTTCAAGTCACTTTTCTACATAGTTTAGCCAGCTTTTGAAAAACATAAAACAGATCATGCCATTCCCCAATTAGAAACCCTAGAAAGGCTTCCCTCTACTCTTAGGTTAAAACCCTGAACTGTCTTTGTGGCCTGCATAGTATAGTGATATTTAATACCTCCTGGGGTCTTTCTTTGCAATGATCCAGCCCACCACATTCTTGCTGTTTCTTTGCTGACCCAAGCAGTTCACAGGACCCAGTATGGGCTGGTCTCTCTTGTTTGCTGCAAGCATTTTTCCTTTCTGTTGGCAGACTTGTCAATGTGATTCAGTCCAAACAGTTGCCTCTTCAAACACTCCATCCAAAGTAGCCCTTTCCACCAATCCTACCCTGCCAGGTCCGTTAGTGCTTTTCTTTCTTTTGTATGATTTGGTAGTCTCTGAAATGATCTTATTTGGCTGTGTATTTTGCTCCAGTGCCAGTGACAGGGGCAGTTATGTGTGTAGCAAAAGTGGGAAGTAGGCAGATCACTTAGTTGTGAAGTGGGAGGAAATGGTAGAGACTGCAGTGGGCTGGAGGGCCTGTGTCCTGGATGCATAAAGGTTGATAGCTGCTATGTATTGTTTAAGAATCCTCCCAGAGTTGCCAGTTTCAGAGAAATTAAATGTCGGTACCTTACCTTGAAATGAGGCACCATTGTGAACTGCATCAAACACTGATGTAAGATGCAGCTCATCAGACTCATTGGCACTTAAGGATTGTTCCTTACTTTTCATTTTGCAGTCCTGGGGAGATTCTCAGCAAAGGTTCTCCTGCTCAGCCATAGCTGCAGCCCCTTACTGGGCAAATGCTCTGCCACTAAGCCTCCAGCACTAGTTTGTGAATTGCTGAAGAATGCATTGGAACATGAGCTTCACAAAGGCAGAATCCTTGTTTGTCTACCTTGTTCTGGGTCCCAAGTCAAGTAGCTGGGGGACAGAATACGCTCTAAATAAAATAGAACTCACACTAGAAGTAATTGACCAAAAAAAAAAAAAAAAAAAAAAAAGCACTGGTGTTCTTTTGTGCACTCTGCTCTCCAGTGTAGATTCAGTTTTCTGATGAAATCAGCCATATTGAGCCAGTATGGCCACACCCAGATTTGAGTTTCTGAATACACCTCCCTCTCGCTGTGTGGGATCTGGTGGATGTATGTCTGCTGTGGTTGTCAGAAGCAGCTGAAAAGTCTCTTACTTGCTTTTGCATGTCAATTTTAAGAAGTAACTTGTGTCATGGCTGTGGAGGGAAGGTAGGGAACCCAAGAATGCTGAGCAACTGAAGTCAGAGTCTGTTCCCTATCAGCCAAGTCAGTGACCTGAGGTGATCACAGAAGCTCCTCATCTGTTTGCCTCCTCATCTGTAAAATGGGAATAAATGATGTCCTGTCCAAAAAAAAAGTAATTGCTTCTCAGTACTACTATGGTTCTATAGATTTTTCAATATGTACTTATTTTATTTTACACTTATGCATGCATGTTTTGCCAAGATAAAAGTATGTATGTGTGCCATATGTATTCTTGGTACCCATGGAGGTTATAAGAAATTGTTAGATACCCTTGAACTTGAGTTACAGTCAGTTGTAAGTATCAACATGGGTGCTTGGAATTGAACTCAGGTCTATACAAGAATTGTAAGTGATGGGAGATATCATTCTGTATATGTTTCTTATACTGGTTAATGAATAAAGCACTGTTGGCCAATAGGAAAGGAAAATAGGAGGGACTAGGAGACAAGGAGGAAAGAGGAAGAAGTAAGGAGAGCCAAGATGGAGAGTCTGGAGAAAGCAGTATGCCGGCCGGCTCCCCGGTAAGAGAAATAAATAGATCAGCAGAAATGGGTTAATACTGAAGACAGAGCTAGCCGATAAGAAAGTAGTAACTGGCCAACAGTATAATATCAAATACAGAGTCTCTGTGTGTTATTTGGGGCTGGCGCGGCGGCAGGACAAGACTAGGAGGCGGGCAGAAAAACCATACTCCTTACATGTAAGTGTTCCTACCTGCTAAGCTATCTGTCCAGCCCAATAAATGGATATATCTCTAAAGATTAACCAGATATAAAATGAAAGAAAGAAGGATACTACTTGTTCCTTTACCTAACAACTTCAGAAGACAGATTTTATAGTCTTTCAAAGTAACTTGCACAACAAATCTTAAATCACTACTAATTGGCAGAATTCTGTTTCACAATTATAACTTCTGTTGAATTTAACATGTAATAATTTTAAATTCCTTTCATTTATTCATTAACCCATTAGTTATATAGCTCTCTCAATCTCTTTGTGCTCCCATATGTTGCTTCAGTCCCTTCATTTCATGATGAAGTTGCCCTGGTCACTATCACAACATTGACTATTCACTTCAATTAATTTTATACTTAATGAAGAATTTAATGCACCTGGATGCAAATTTACTGTGGTTTATTCATTTTATCAAAATATTAACTAAATCATTACTCTTATGAGACTTTTTTCTGTGTTATTTAGTTTTCCCTCACACAATACACCAAAACTTCAGCTTGCCCTCCTTCTACTATTCCCAGACCTCTAACCTCCCCTTTCCCCAGATTCACTGCTCCTTCATTTCTCTGCACAATTCTATACTATTAAAGCAGGACTTTACTGTGATAAAAAAAAGCTTACCATAATGATGCAGATAATTTTGTATTATATTCTCTCTCTTGATGACCAGAGTATTTTATGGTTGCATAAGTACTATGGTCTTAGTTGTCAGAATAACACACAAATATATTGCCTATTCTGAAGAAGACTGAACAATAAAACACTGAGAACAAGAAAAAACTGAATGTGCAATGCATGGACATCCTGAATTCTTTTTCTTATCCTTTGCTACTGAGATTAATTGCTAGTTATTATTCTTAATGTTGTTGCTGCTGTTTTTTTTTCTTTATCATCCCCATCTGCCTGCTCAATTCCAGCAATATTTTAAGCTCCTTTAAAAAATAATAAGTTTTCCAAACTACATATTAACAGCTCTCATGCTGGTTTCCCATGGTGAGTTTTGGAACCAAGCCTACCTACACCATCTGCAAACTCCCAAACCTACGTCTGGAAATAAGGCTCCTATACTAGCCAGTCCCTCCACAAACAAGACCTCATGTTAGACATATAGCCAAAGAAATAAGTTCACATGTTCAGGTTACATCAGAAAAACATAAAGAGTTGTAAGGCCAAGGCTATATACATTCCTTCACAAAACACATCAGGAATATAGAAGTAGTCTTTAGTGAAAATTGGCTTTGTGAACCTCAGGACACAGAGTATGAAAAAATAATAAATATGACCAAAGAATATAGGAAGTTTAAAAAAGAAATGAACAAACAGTTCACTCACCATAGAGAATACAGCAATAAATAATTGTCTGAGTCCAAGAAAAGACAAATGTATGGCTGAGTGAAAAGAGATTTGATAGATATATTATTATATGTAAATAGTAAAACAAAATTAAGCTAATATGAAGATGAACTTGAAACTCATTATAATCCAATTAGAAAAGTCAGAGTAAAGTAACTATAGTAAAAGATATTGATTAGAAGATAAAATGTCACAACTTCAAAATTTAATAGCAAAATTCTATGGCTTTAGCCAAGAATATGAAAAAGGCATATGAAAGGAACATGCTAAAATGATGCTACACCACAAAAAGAACAAATATTTAAATTACAGGTACAGAAGTGGGTCTAACATACTAGTTCAGTGTTATAGATCCAATATTA